GTGTACAGTGTCCAGATTGACCACATTGCTTTCATTGTTAATATACCAGTGAAAGGCCATTCCGGACACGTATTGGGCCGCCTCTTTGTCCCGGTATATGATGTCAGACCAGTTGGCAATGAAGGGTCTCTGATCGTCGCAAACCATAACTCGGGTAACGTTAGGCCCATAACCGGCGGCAGACATAATGGGACCCAAATCTAGTTTCAGGAAATCCCGTTGCAGTTCGGGAGTGAATGCCATACTATTGAAGGTATGGTTTTCTCCTAGTAATCGGGCTATTTCGGGCTCGTTCTCTACGGTAATACCCCATAATGGTATGCCCTGTGCTTTATATGAGTCCATAAATCTAAAAAATTAGTAATTATTTATTATAACCAAATAGACATTTTGAAGGTGCATTATATACAGTATTTACTTTACATACAGCATTACATAGTTTTACAAATAAACATGTCTATTGATTGACACAGCATTATGCTTAATTGACAAAACATAGTTATATTTAATGTCATTACTTACTTCACTAAATAATTAGCGAATGCCTTATAGTATTTACCACCAGGTTTGCCAATTAGAAAACCACCATGGTTTATCTCTGAATTGTTTTTCATCCAAGCAGGTGGTGACCACGGGCTGCCAAACAGTCTCAAATCGTGCTTGCTCACTTGTTTAGCCGCTTTAATTAACGGTATCTACAATTATTAGTTTAACATCTCTTAAGTTGTGATATATTAAATACTTATAGCAAGTAAATAACATATAAATTAGTAAAAACCTTATCATCAAAATCCTCTTTCATTAGATTAAAGTGTTTAAATTGGAAATCATTTTTATAGTTGTCGTCATAACTATAGGCATGTGTGGAGAAGTCTGAGCCCCCGATCGGTATCCGACCCAATGTATACTCAATACCCGTTTCCCCGAAATAGTCCTCAATTAACCGCTTTTGTAGTATTTGTGGCAAACTTTTAATGTTAATACCGGCGGCGTCTGTGAAGGCGCCCCCAAATCCTATGATTGCCTGATATAAGGGTCGGGTTTTGTCCACATTTATTATCACCAATTTGTTTGCTTTAGTTATAAACTTTTGGCCGAAATTAAGTGTCGATTTGTCCAATCGATGGCCACTTTTTGAGGACTCGTAAACAGTGACCACCTGTTTGTCAGTCTTGTGAATGGCCTCCAAGTCGTCGCAATGGCTTTCATCGCACACACAGACTGTCCCTCCGTTTCCGTAATCCCTGTGAACGCATGGCTCGCGTGAATACACTATATGTTTGGTTAAAATTAAATACTTTTATTTATAATTATCATAAAAAAATTATTTGTAAATAAAATAGTATTATTTTATTGAAATTACCTAGACCAATAAACACTACTAATAACACAAAAAAATTCATTTTAATAATAATTATATTTTTGTAAATTCAAACGTAATAATAAATAATTAATTTATGAATAATACTTTTAGAGTTTGTCTCCTTATATACACCATTCAATTAATTCCCTCAAAGATAACAACAAAAATTTCATCCGTGTTATTTTATTAATATTACCTTGATCTTGATAAATGAATGTATTAATATTAGCAATATATGCAACAATAATTTGGTGCTTGTATTGACGGATGTTTACAAAATCTTATATCCAATTCATCATAGGTATTTTCCTTTACTTTACTTTGGATTAACTTCGAAAAATTAATCCGCTAGCGTTCATTAAAAGAATGCTTAACTTTAACTTTAATATGCAAAATAGTAATCAGAGTCATCTAATAACATCTATTTACAATATTTTTCAATAACAATCTGTATTAGCAGCAGCACTAAAATCGATGAGTAAAGTAAAGTAGCGTTCATCAAAAAATACTTACTCTCAAAGTTAGGGCAAAACCTCAACTTTCAGAGTAAAGTATAAGTCTAGTTCACCTAAAGTATTTTACCAAAACTTGCGAAATACTTTCCAAGTTAAAGTCAAAATACTTATGATGAATTGGATATTAGGGATAGACCCAAAGTACCACATGGGACCCAAATGCAGCACTGAAATCGTGTAATCTAGAATAATATGAGTTACTTATATACTTTATCATAAATGTTATTATATTTTATCAAAATAATATGTATATTTCAAGTGTTGCATGCTGTGCCATCCATTTAAAGTATGACGGTAGGTACTTTAGGTACTTTGAATCTGTTATAGAAAAACTTGAATTTTTGTGTATTGCTATTGTTTCGGTATTGGCTTAAAGTATTGGTCGGCAACTTACTTACTATAAGTAAGTTGGAGTAGTAAAGCCAAGTGTCAAGTCAATATTAAAATTATATTTTAATGATTAAATTAAGAATTATTAATCATTCAAATGAATGCATATATTAAACACATAGATAGTTATTATATGCTTTGATTGCATTTATAATTTTGTTTATTTCTGTTTAACGATTCTCTCAAATATATCACTCATTTGGTCATTAATTGTCTCATATATACGAGTCTTTGCCACTGTTTTGGACACAAATTCATATCGGAATCGGTCTCTGACTGAAAGATAAGACAATACGTGTTCACACAAGTCATCGCCAAATCTTTTTACGACCGTTGCGCCACCTATTTATGGCACACTGTGAATTTGAATCTGGTTAACCTAAAATCAAGTTGCCGACCAATAGCTTAAAGTATGACACAAAATATTGTACAGACTGTCCAATATATACAGCGACAGAAAATAAGTCTGTCGGGCCTTAAAAATTTATTACGGACGTGGTTCAATACTTATCAAGACCAAATTTTTTTACAGATATGTAATCTCGAGACGCACAACATATAATTTTTTTAAATAACCTAGCTGCGTTTTTAACTGAGCAATTAAACAAAATTTACCCAGCTAAAACTAAATTATATAAAAATTTTCTGACTTCATCAATAAATAGAGCATGAAAAATAAGTCGACACGTGTATCAGCATTTAAATATAAATTGTTAATAAACGTAGAGGGACGATTTATAAAGTTAATTTTCCTATAGAAAGTCTTAATGATTAAGAATTCCGACCACACCTGAGAAGCGGTTAGGCATTTAAAATTGATATAAATGATGTTCGGTAATTACGTTATTCACTATAAAAACGTACATAACTGATACTAAATTTCTTAATTTTGAAATGACGTTTATCGATTAGGTCGGATTTGCAAAATTCCTTCGGATTTAGATTCTGCACATTCATACCTTTCTATTGATATATAATATGACATGGTTATTTAGAAAATAAAAGTTTTGATTTTCAAAATTTTACCGATAAACGTGGTCACTACGGCCAGACCCGAAAGTATCTCGACATATGAAGTATATCACTCAACTACCGATTGAGTGTACTTTTATTTTATAACAATAATTCCCGGTTGCCCGCTATCCCACGAATGCGCATCCTCCTTTAGAAAAAACTCCTAATCATTGAGACTTTTTATAGGAAAACTGACTTTATAAACCTTCCCGCTACATTTATTAATGATTTATATTTGAAATGCCGATACACGTGTCGACTTATTTTTAATGCTTTATATATTAGTGAAGTCAGAAAAATTTTATATAATTTAGTTTTAGCTGGGTAAATTTTGTTTAATTGCTCAGTTAAAAACGCAGCTAGGTTATTAAAAAAATTATATGTTGTGCGTCCCGAGGTTCCATATCTGTAAAAAAATTTGATCTTGATAAGTATTGAAACACGTCCGTAATAAATTTTTAAGGCCAGACAGACTTATTTTCCTCTTTTGTATGTCCCTACTTTGTTTTTCTATAGAAAACCATTACTGTATATAACTACAATATGTTAATCAGATGTAGGTCAGGCATCTGTAGACCGATTTTTAATAAACTTAGATGTTTTCAAATAAGTAAAAGCTATATTTTAAATTCTGATACTCAATAATTAATTTCCCTAAAATCCCTAGAATTTGAGGGGCAATATTTATAATATTTCAAAATATTTACATTTTTGTGAATTATTCAATGAAATCCTATGGAAAAGACTAATTACTGAATAAAATCACAAAGGAAAGTACACTCACAATAATTTTAATATTAGGTTAAATTAACAAATTACCCATAATGGTCTAGTGTATTGCTCGGCAATGAAGGTGCTTTTGGCACCTTGAAGTAGAAAAGCCAATTGTCATAAACAACATTAAAATTATGTTTTATTATTTTACACTAGTAATTTAATTAAAATATTAAGATAACAAAATAATTGTCTGAATTCATATACGGATATACAAGGGGTGAGAGGGGTTGGGAATATTATAAACTTGATAAAATAACGTAACGTTATACACACAAACAATCAATAATGTTCCGTAGGGGAAACGCCAATAACTTTTGATTGAGTAATTCAATTTTAATGATTCTAATTAGTAAAATGTTGCCTGATAATTCAGTAATCGATCCATATATAATATGCCATTGTACCTATCATAGTTAAGTTTCTAGGTGAATTATAAAAAAAGAAATAATTTCCATTGAAAATGAATGGCTTTTTTGTACAATTATTAACTTTTTCTAGCTATATTTTTTAGAATACTAAGAACCTAGATTAAATTTTTAAAGTTTAACTAATTGAAGTTTTAGTAACACATGTGATGGATACTTTAGCAATTTCACAATTCATTTTAAACTACCTGTATTTTGTGAAACAAAGGATTTCTATAACTCAAAAACTACTAGGTTAATTTTAAAATTCTATATGTCAAAATGTTCAGAATGACAAATGAGTGGACACGTATTTTAGGATTTTTCTAAAAAAATATCTGGGTTAAAGAACAGATGTCTAAAGTGCATAAAATTCTACATTTCATTTGCTTGCCAATTAAAATTTATTTATTTATTTTTAACGTTCACTAGCTCAAATTGACAATAATTATTAATAGAAAAAAGCAATTTCTTAGATTCTCAATATTCTATAGTTTTGATAAATTTTTCATAAAAACAAAATTTGTATAATTTTAAAAATTGTTTATAATGAAATGCCATTGACATTAGCCTCTAGTTGTACACATTTTCAATGGTTTTCAATGGGAATTATTGCTTTTCTTATAATTCACCTAGAAACTTAACTATGATAGGTACAATGGATCGATTACTGAATTATCAGGCAACATTTTACTAATTGGAATTATTAAAATTGAATTACTCAATCAAAAGTTATCGGCGTTTCCCCTACGGAACATTATTGATTGTTTGTGTGTATATTAAGGGTTCAATGCATTGATATTTTGGGAACACCATACGATATTATGGGTTTGCATATATTTATACCAATCTTGGTTAGTGTAGGCTTTCGTAGATAGTGTTAACTTAAAGCTAAAGCTGTAGATGTGCTGCAATTATTGGCATAAGTTTCTATGAGTTCATAATAGCTATCGTATGGATTGACTGCATTTGTATTTGACTTTGATTTCAAACCAGTCATTAAATTATATGTATTTTTGTGCCATTTTTAAAATTATTTTATCTACCGTTGCGCCACCTATTTATGACACACTGTGAATCTGTATATGTGATATGCTAAAAGAGATTGCCGAGCAATAGTCTAGTGAATTAATATTATCTATCAACAACTACTATATCCAGAATTAGACTAAAAAGGGATATTTCCGAATAGGGTCCTTAGTTAATGAATTTAAACCATATTAGTATATTCTTGATATTGTAATAATTGTATTTAGCATTTACAATTATGCCAATGGGTATTTTTAATAATTTTAATTAATAAACAAAGTTAACATAATTGGATTAAAAGTTTCAATTTTAGCGCTGAGATTTG